GCAGGAATGACAGTTTTCTCAACAAGTTTTGCTGGTTTCATTATCACTATTGGGGATTCAAAACCCCTTACTGTGTCAGACCCCTTGAGTGTGGAAGATAGAAAATTGTTTCTCTGAGTGTTTGGTTGCCTTACTGACCTGGTATTCTGAATTTGGTTGGTAGTTTTTGGTTCATAGACACTTTGACTTCCAACAACATTTGGAGCCTCTTCTTCTTTTCTGCTCTCTAATAGCCCCTTTTCTTGCATTGCTTCAAGTATTTGTTTTAGTGCTCTGAGATCTTTTCCAGATTGTTTGAATTCAAGATCCTTCAATCTCTTCTCTATCTCGCTATAAACTGAAGGAAAGGATTCTGGTGCTCTTGCTGAAGCCTTTGAGGTCCTTAAACTCGGTTTCTGGGAGCTTCGATTTCCTTCCTGCTGCTTCCATGGTGCTGGTTCAATGGGAACTCTTGAACTTGAGATGGGTTTCATAACCAGATCAGGATTCTTTCGCCGTGGGGAAGTTGGGTCTTTCAATGAGATTTTCGGAGAATTAGAAATTCGGAGTGGCCTGGTGAGTCCATTTTTTGATGATCTAGGAAACTGGCCATTATCTTGTGCTGAGTAAGCTTCAGTTGAACTTGATTGAGTGTCAACAGCCAAAGAGGAATCTGGTAACGCTTCCAAGCCCATTAATTTAGCCACAACACTAGGTGGACGACTCGGGGTCGCTGAAGATTGTTGTGGGATTGAGAATTTGTCATTTGAGGTGGATGTGCCACTGTAAATGTTCCTTGAGAGGTGACTGGGTTTTGAGTCAGAACTGTAAGTGCGCAACGAGCCTTCCTTACTATCCAGTGAAAGTCTAGGAAGCTCTTTTAGCTTTGGTGTGGATTTAATGGTATCTCGTGATTCAAAAGATAAACGGCTTATTTCTTTTCCTTCATAAGCAAACCAAGGAGCATCCTTTGAAATGGAATGCCAGTGTCCATCTTTTACTTCATGTGATGATCTTGGAGGTTCTTTGGTTTCTGCATGATACCAAGGTGCTTCTCTAAGCTTAGCAAGGACTCGGATCGACTCCTTTAGATCAATAGGCACACTTTGTTTTCCATCTATTCCAACTCTGTAAGATCCATCAACAGATTTAGACATCTGAATAGGTCGCGGTGAATCCCTGTGCTTTGCGGCATTAATGGCAGATTCCTCTTTGGCTGTAGTCTTGACTGAAAAACCTCGCGCTTCCCTGTACATAGAATCCTTCACCACATCCCTCAGGTCAAGGGACTGACATCCAAAATGGGGAGAGATGGTTGGTTGGTTCATAACTACATCTCTTGAAGGAGTTTCAGGAAAAAGAATCCGATCAAATGGGGCATCTGCTTCAGCCTTGCAGTCCAGAGACGACACTGATGATGAACAAGAAGAGAATGATGCTCTTGATGATTCAGTTGAAATTCTTTGCCTTTCATTCACACCCTTGTTTAAGTTGGTATCCTGCAATGAATTCAGTATGCTGCATTATTAGTCCAGTTTCATGTGCACTTTTCATTCTTCATGATAGTTACAAACACATGCATCAGCATTAGAAAGTATCTGTATGTGAATTTCTTTCCAAAAAATACAGAATTCAAATGATTGTGCAGAAGTCCAGGAGATGTTAAATCTTGAAAATAATTCTAAAATCTCAAATATCAACCTTCAACATTTATTTCCAAATATCATAGGAACAGAAAATGCATACTTGCTATGGTAAGCAAAACATTCCTGCCTCAATTTAAAGCCCGATTCAATAAACTTTTAACAGCAAAACAATAAAAAAAAAATTGTAAAAAATGAGGGTGAAAAGAAGGTTCTTACAGTTGATGTTTGTCGATGGTGTATGTTATCAGAATCTCTTTCCAAGCTGCCATCACTGAAATGCGAATTACCTAATGAAAAAAGAAGCATTAGATGGAAGTTGACATATCCTAATGAAAATGAAAACCAACAATAATAATGCAATTGACATGAGCTGACCATTTCACTCAGAGGATCACCGTATACAACACAATAAAGATTCAGATTGAACTTGAAGTTCTCCAAATAATTTATTACAGACATCTTATCCACACCTTGTATTGTAATTGAATACAGAGAAAATTCATAATATCATTTGATACTAAAGTTAAAAAAAAAATCCCAAAACACCCCCC